TCCCCTCCCCTCCCTCTCCCTTTCCCTTCCCCCCTCTCTCTCTGCGTGTGTGTGTCTCAGTTTCTCTCTTTCTTCCTCACTCTACCCACCCTCTCTTGCTCACTTGGTCTTTATTCTCTCTCTCCATATATTTATTCATCTATTTATCCCTTTGGTACTTTTTATCTAGAGAACTTGACTCAAACCTGAGGTTTGAAGATGAAGCCCAGCTCCCCAAAGGTTAGAACAGTTGCCCCCACTGTCTGGCTCTTGATACTATTTTGAGAGGTTGTGGAAACTTTCGGAAATAAAACTTGACTGAAGGAAGTGGGTCCTAGGGAAGGCCATGAGGTTTAAACATACTAGGAAGCTATTGCAAGTAGTGGCATGGTAAGCAAAGACACCCCCTTAATAACACGTTCCTCTTTCTAAGTAGTCACAACACAATTAGTCTAGCATAGTATGCATGAAACCATAATTAGGTAGTTTGATACAAATTTATGGCCAGAGCCAATATTTTGTTGAATTCTTTTAAGAGTATGCCTACTTCACTGCAAATTTTAAAATTTTAAAATTTAGAATGAAGACAATATGTGCCACACACAAATTATAGGAAATATGAGTCAACTGTGGTACATGTGCTGTTAAGCCTGGATGGCCCTCAAGGACAGGGATATAGGTTAGCTGCCCAAACCTGATCTATAGAATTGAGCTCTAATGTTTCCTGGCAAGGCTGTGGTATCTATCCCTAGAAAGCGTCAAAGAAAAGCCAAACAACTCACCCCAAGAATTACTGTAGCTGCGAGTTTTTACTTTCTTACATCAGCCTACATCAGCTCTGACTTTCAAAGCTAGTCTTGATATCTCAGTGTGGTGGTTTGAGTAGGTAATGTCCCAATAGACTCAGGTGTTTGAATGCTTGGCTCATAGGAAGTGACACTAATAGGTGCCTTGTTGAAGTTGGTGTGGCCTTGCTAGAGGAACTATGTCTCTGTAGAGGCAGACTGTGAATTTTCCTATTCCTATGCTCAAGCTATGCCCAGTGTGGTACACAGTCCCCTTCTAATGCCTTCATATTAAGATGTAGAACTCTCAGCTCTTTCTCCAGCATCATGTCTGCCTGCATACCACCATGCTTTTCATCATGATGACAATGGACTAAGCATCTGAAACTGTAAGCCAGTCCCAATGAAATGCTTCCTTTTATAACAGCTCCCATGGTAGTAGTGTCTTTACACCAATGGAAGCCCTAACTAAGACACTCAGTGACAAGTTTGTGTGACCACAACTGTAACTAATAAAGTGGAAAACACTTGGTAAACCTAACTGAACATTTCCAGATTTTAAATGAAAAGGCTTCTACCTGTTTACTTGTGCTCTCCTGTACTTCTTTAAGGGAGTTTCTTAATTCCTTCTTATAATCCTCTATCATCATCATGAGAAGTGATTTTAATTCTGAATCCTGCTTTTCAGGTGTGATGGGGTGTTCAGGGCTTGCTATATTGGGAGAACTGGGTACTGATGATGCCAAGAAACTTTGGTTTCTGTTGCTTATGTTCTTGCGCTTGCCTTTTACTATGGGGATGTTATTCAGTGTCTGTTCATCTGTTGTTTTGTTCACATCATGTTTCTTAATTTAACATTATCTTTATTTGGAACTTACCCTGTGATGATGTTTTAAAAATGATAGAAAGCACATATGTTGCAAATAAATACA